CTAAGAAGGCAGTTACTATGTCAGTTTTCCTATTTATTTTTGTGAGAATGGGAGTGGGGACTTTCAAGGTATTCACAGGTGAAACTGGAAAATAAATGTTTTCTTAAATGTTTAAACAAACAAATAAAAATGGATCAGGGTATGTCCACCATCCTTCTTTTTTAGTAAGCAGACACCGGGGATTTAAATCAACACTATCGCTTTGCTTGTGCAATGTTTTCTAAAGCATTTGATGTCAAATAGAAGAGTGGAAGGAAGCTCAGATCAACTGCTATGACCACTACTGATTCCACCACCACCACCACCACCATCACCACCACTACCACCATTACTACCACTATGAGCTACTAATAACAAATGCTGACATAAGAGCCCTGGTGGTATAGAAGTTTTGAGCGAGGCTGCTAACTGTAAGGTCAGCAGTTTGAAACCACCAGTTGCTCTGCAGGAAAAAGACGGGGCCTTCTTCTCCAGGAAAGAGTTTGTCTTGGAAACTCGTAGATTTAATCTATGTAGTTAACCCAGAAAGGGACTAAATGAACAATTTTGTACAAAGCCCACATAGTTGCAGGAAAGAAAAGTGTGAAAAATAGTGTACATAATATCTAAATTATGAAAATCAATCCATAGATATTGTGATCCTTACCATCTGCTCTAAATTTAGCATTTAAAAAGTACATGGCATGTTTCAACGAAGAGGACATTCCAATGGCCATTACACACATGAAAAGATGCTCAGAGTCATTAGAGAGATCCAACTGGAAACCAGAATGAGACATGATTTCACTCGGTGTTAGCTAAGACAAAAACCAAAGCAGCAGTCTAACAAATGTCGGCAAGGGTAGAAGGAAATTGGGACACTTATCCGTTGCTCGTCGGAAAGCAAAATGGTAGAGCCATTGTGGAAAATGGCAGGTGGCTCCTTAAAAATTTAAATTAGATTTATCATTTTAATCTACTGTAGTCTCTCTCACACGCTCTGTTTGCTAGCCAGATTATTCCCATCCCTCAATTATGGGTAGAGGGAAACCACTGGCACTTATTCCTTGTGCATGTAGATCCTGCAAGTGTCTTTGGGGCTTCTCCTGTCAGTCATAGCAGTCTGCACACCCGCATCTCACAATTTAACCTCAGACAGATTCCCTCCTTTGGATTTGGATTAGCTACAGGATTTATCTCTGTTGTATTTTGTCATTGTTGGTCACCTTCTTGAGTCGCTGTTAATGTATGAAGGGGTCCCCCCAAAAAACTGTTCATTTTTTTTCAAAGCTATGTATTAAAAAATTTTTTTACACAGTAACCTTATCACCTTTGAAATAGTCTCCATTACACTTAATACATTTGTCTGATCTGCGATTCCATTCTTGGAAACATTTTTCAAATTCATGTTTGGATTGCTGATAGCACCGCTCTCATTTTTTTCTTCACTTCTACTTTGTCAAATTGCTGTCCTTTCATGTCCCTCTTCATTCACAGAAACAAAAAGAAGTCACACAGAGTGAGGTCAGGTGAGTGGGGCAAGAAAGGCATGCTGCTGTTTGCCAAAAACTGGCACACTGAGATGGCTATGTCAGTAGGTGCATTGTCTTGGTGGCAAAGCCAGTCTCCCCATCTGCCAGAAACCAGGCCTTTTTTTGTCCCACACTGTTAACATAATCTTTTTCAGAGTCTCTAAATAGGAAGCTTGATTAACAGTCTGACCTGGTAAAAGGAACTCCAAATGCCTTATCCCCCCCCTCAGATCAAAAACACAAATGACTCCAACACCCCAGTTGTTCCCCTGTCCATGGTGAAGCCTGCTGACCACCCTCTCCCCTCACCGCCCTCACCTCCCAGGTCTCCTCGGGGACTGTGAGTCTGGCTGCTCTCTCCTCAGGTATGCCTCCCATGCCTAGCCTACATAGGTAGGCACACCAACTATGACATACGGTAGCACAAACTGATAAATAAGTAATAAATAAGAAAAAAAATAAAATTAATAAAAGAGAAAAAAATACACAAAAATCCTGGGTTTGTTCACTGGTCTTAATGACTGTCCAGGAACTGCCCCTCCCGGCCTGGAGCACCCCCTTGGGGGCTCCTTGGGGGCTTCGTAGCTCTGCCTTGATCCACATGCTGGTCTGGTATGCTCCCTTCTTGGTTCCTCTGCTTTGGGGGGTTCAGACCCACTGCCTCCCCACCACGTGACTCCAGAAATGTCCTCTGTCGCAGTTTGCCTCAGTAAGGGAGCTCACAACACAGACTGCAGGAACAGGAGTGGGAACAGTGATACCAGAAGAATAGGGGGAGAGCAGGAGAGGAAGGGAGAAAGGGGGAACCAATTGCATTGACCGACACATAACCACACCCCCCACTACAGGGGGAAGAACAACAGAACATGGAGGAAGGGAGACAGCGGTCGGTGGGAGAGATGAAAATAATAACAATGTAAAATCTATCAGGGGGATATAAGGCGGGGGAGTGGGGGAAAAAAGAGCTGATACCAAGGGCTCAGTACAAAGTAAATGTCTAGAAAAGAATGAGAGCAACATATGTACAAACATGCCTGATTCAATTGACGTATGGATTGTGATAAGAGTTGTACAAGCCCCCATTAAA